ATGAGTGATTTACAAGTCAGCATTGTATATTTCAAAATTTTATTAAAATTTTATTTTCGAAGCTGCAGTTTTAAGTACGTGTAATGTTTTGATAGGCTATAGTTGCGTTTGCATCACCCTGCCTAGTCAGATTTTCTTCTCTCTCTCTTCCATTTTGCAATATATTTAATTTTCGGATTGTAATAAACTTTCTTTTTTATTTTTGTATTTTGGTCTTTTGGTTTTTAATAACTTAATTTTAATTGCTCAACCAACATTAAACATTACAAAATTAAATTTTAAAAAGTTCGAAAAGACTAACATAAAATATAGTTAAATAAATAAAATATAGTTAAATAGTTTAGACCAATATTGAAAAGTTAAAACTTTCTAAACCAAAATATAAATTTAGTAAAATTGATGATTAAAACCCATATTTGTATATAATAGATCAAAATTGTGAGTGACACCCTTACACTTTAACCCATGTTAAAATTTTATCTCTACATTTTCTTAGTACAGACAAAGTATCATCCTTGCAGAGATGTTATACATTTAATTAAACTATGATATATATATATATATATATATATATATATATATATATATATATATAAAAAGCAAAAGTTCCTGTATTTTCTAATATCTATATTGTTATTTCCTCCTCATTTAATATTGATTTTCATGTATTGTCATTTCTATTTTCAAGACAAGTTACACACACCTCGATTGATCTAATGAAATAAATAAATTGATCTAATGAAATAAATAAATGGACTTGGAATATCACATGCAGTGGAGACCTTACAACATATACTGTTATTGAAAAATACTTTCCAGAATTTTATCCCAAAAAGGTAGAAACTCCTATATAATGGTGTGTTTTTTTTCGTATTACTTCATGTTTCTCTATATTAAAAAGAAATAATAATAATTATAAATTATAAAAAAAAAAAACCAAATGAGAATATAAATATCACACGCATTAGAGGTTGCTTTTAGGAATAGTTCCAAAGTGTATCCATATCCTTAAATAATGTTATCATACATTTAGTTAAAAGAGAAAACAAGCTAATATTTCAAAAGCTTCCATTCCTTAAATAGATTTTCTATGCTAAATCACTCACCAAACCGAGTTTCTGCATCTCTCCAAGCAAACTATATAGTTTAAAATATTCCCAATTATCTTAAATTTAATGACTATATATGTAGTTTTTTAACTTTAAGAAGCTCAAGCAATCCAAAACTTAAATCACAAGTTTCATAAAGTACTCTCCAAGTTCCATGCCACACAAGCTGTGAGTTTCTAAAAGCAAGAAAAGGACAAGTCTATTAGGTACTTGTTCATTCATGCATGAAGTAACTACTTGGAAGCAAAACCACCACAAATTCTATGTGATTGGCACACAATAAATTGAGTTACAAATACAACCGAACAAGCCAGCCAACCAGTGTGGTGAGAATGAAGAAGCTTGTGAAGTGTTTAAGGAAACTGAAGAAAATGTTGGTGTCCTTACAGTGTAAGAAACCCGAGCAAGGGACTTTGGCCTCACCTCGGTGCGCAATTTTCTGTGAAGAGCTCTTCCTGCCATCGAAAAGGAAAAAGTGTTACGGTGCAGTTAGCTACAGTGTCGATCGTGATCCTTTCGTTGCAGCTCACCTTGCAGCACAGAATCACTTCGGTATCAGGCCAAACATCTATCTTTGAGGAAGAAAAAGAGGTCATGTTCCTTTCTGAATGAATGATGCTGCTGTTTTTAACTCTTGTATTTCCCATGATATAGAAGAAACCTTGTTTGTGTGCCAATATTTTGCTAAATCCATTCGGTTTGCTTCATTCTCTTGCCGAACGATAATGAAGCGTCGTTGGTTCATTGTTCGAAGACGCCATTCTTTATTCCCTGACTATCATCCAGTTCCCTTTTCCAACATACTGTCAATACAATCAAATCTCAAAGCTGAAAATTCAGGCTGAACATATTGGAGCATTGTATGGCTGGATAGAACCTAATACTAACAGCAAAAATCCATTCACAAAATATTGGTATAAGAGTTTCTTTTCCTTTTGCATCATTCTTTATATAGTTACACATGAAGTTACAAACAAGGTAGAAACCACCCGTAAGCTTTGTTGACCATTGTGATATTCCCTACAAGGCCTTGTTCTACATGTTCGTGGACACCGACAACTAAATGCACTTAGATGTTTAGTTATAGACATGATATTCACATAACATCAATATCTTCACTGAAGCTTCAAGAAAGCCATCAGGGGATCATACACAACTTGCTTAGCGTTTTCACCCATGACAAAATCAGCATGTGCATAATCTTCTCTAAACTGAACTACAAGCTTATCTCCATCATGGTCTTTGAGGCTATTCAACAAGAGCTGCACATCATTGACATCAGACAGGGCATCAGCCCCTCCATAGCTAAGAAAGAGAGGGAAGTCATTTGGAATGCTCGTCATATTGTACTCTGGAGGAGTTGGTTGCCCGTAGTGTTTCATGTTTTCAATCACGTCAACATAATCATACATTGCTATGGTTCCGCTTCTGATCACTGCCCATAATTGCCAAAACGACATTGAGACAGCACAAATTTTGCAGTTATTAGTATACTTTTTTGAGTTCAAAACTTACAACAACACAAAAATTCAAGTATACTCAAAGCCACATTACATATTCATATAGCATTTGGACTGGATAAATCAGTCTGGATTTTTTCTAATAAGAAATTTAGTCCTTACTCTGAGCCAGATGAATCATGTTCCTTGTTGCTGTTGGCTGAGGCTCATGGGTTAGGAAGATTTGTGTAACAGAGGGATTGAGGCAGCAGTTCTGGCCTATAATTGTAACAAAAAATTATATTATCCAAGTCGAGCAAAAAGTCTTTCTCCGAGAGCTAGGTCAGGAAATAAAATAATGAACAACATAATATTGCAACCTGTGAAAGAGGTCAACAAGTTGATGCAATCAACACCTGGTTTTGCACAAACATCCACAAGAAGTTGGACTGCAGCCTTCCTATTTGTTCATTCGAAGTAAGTCAAAATCTCTTGCCCATATGAATCATCAAACAAGAGAATGTGCAAAAGAAGAACTAAATGAACTAGTTATTTCACTGATCTAAAAGTTTCCTTAGCAGAGGAGAAAAAGAAATGTTGCATATTTACCCTCTGGGATCAAACTCTTTGACACCCAACCAGAACAAAACCTGTTTACGATAAATTAAAAGAATTGGTAATGCACCTTATAATTCGATCAGTAACATACGGGGGAGGAATGGATATTTATACCTCACCAAGAAAGTTATCTGCAGCATTTATCGCAATTGGCGAGGTTATTTTACCCAAATGGGCAATTGGGCTAATCAAAGCAGCTGACCTCAACATGTTTAGCAATTGGTGTTTGGAAAATGCAGCAAGAGCAATTAGTGTTCCCTTCAAACCAATAACTTCTCCATCTCAGTTACAGATAAGACACTTTTACAAGTCAATAAATATGCAACAGTAACACTTATACTAACCAATGAATGTCCAACATAGTGCATCTTCTGCCCAGTATGGTTATGAACATACTGGAGAGTGGCAGGTAGATCAAGAGCTACCAGTTCATCCCATGACCAGTCCCAGAAACTCTAAATAACAACTCAATGTTACTTTTAGAAACGTATAAATGAAACTGAGAACTAGTGAATTAAGTAATTACAGGATCATCAGGGCCGAGTGATGTGTGTCCTTGGCTAAATTTTGTTCCACGGGTGTTCGCAAGCCACACATCAAACCCTTTATCTGCCAAAATGAAGGCCAAAGAACTTTCTGGAGGAAGCATCAGCCATGTAACCGCATCCTACCACCCATCCACATAGTTTGTAAGAGCAATCTCTAAGGCCATCATTCTCACTCTTAGAATCAAAATTTCAGGCCATAAACATAAAATGACACCAAAATCAGAACTACCAACCATTAGAAGCCCGTGCTGTAGCAGAACTGGTGGCCCATTGGCTGAGCTCGTCCGCCCTGATGGAATCCTCTGCATGCTGAGAATGAACCCATCGTTCGTTATCACCTGAAACCCAAATGAAGATCATTCTGTGAATCAATTGGGTATTGAAGAAGAAGAAGAAGAAGAACTTTTCGCCAAATTACCAGATGTTCTTCGCAAGCATAATCGTGTGGCTCCACTAACGATTTACATATACCATCGACAGACCCGGGTTCCAATGCAGAAACTCTTCTGATCCCAAATGCGGAGCCATAGAACAGAAGTAGAAGAACGATCGAAGTGAAGGGATTGGGCGAGTTCATTTTGATTCATGGTGCGACACAGGGGTTTTGGAATTTTATATCGACGCAGAAGAAGACCAGATAAAAACAGAAATTGAGTAATCACATGAATTGCCATCCGCTCCCGCTCATCAAAAGCCATTGATCGAGGGTACCTGGTGGGGCCGACACGTCTTCCCACTGTCAAACTCAAAATAACATTACGCTCAAGGAAAAGCTTAGCGTTCGTCGCCTACAAGATTCCACACTCGAACAAGAAATTTCCTAGGATGCTTCGATGATGATTACATCAATGCCAATTTCTGCTGCAGGTCGATTTCAAGTGAACGCCATCGTCGATACAGCGATATGAAGATCACAAAATTTGTTCGTCAATTAGGAAATGCATCGCTGCGCTATGATAATTGAAATGTATATTTGGATATTGCATGATACCAACCTGTAAATTGAGTCATGACTCGATTGAGCTTGCTCTTATCATTTTGATTCATTCATCTACACCGATCACAATTTAGCGCCATAAATGCCTCCATACATAGTTTTTTCCAAATTTCTTAACCTTCCCTTTGGCATCAAGGTTAAAAAATTCTTGTACTCAAAAAAAAAAAAAAAAAGGTTAAAAAATTCTTTAAATGTAATCAAATTCAAAATATTCTCATAGCTTTATGCTTTGTAGATGCTTTGAAAAATGGGAACGACTTTGTAAAAATATTGATATTTTTCAGTTAATACTTGTTATGAATCTTTGAGATTTTAAAATATTTTGCAAATTATACATTAAAAAAATGCTAAATATACGTTTTTAGTTCATGATATTTGAAAAATTTTCAATTTGGTCAATATTATTTAAAAAAAATTAATTTCATCCCTTATATTTTTACATTTTTTGATTTAGACTTTGAGCAAGGTAAATGTTAAAATTGTTCGATGGTCAACTTAACTAACATGATATGAAAATTTATAGGAAGAAAAATGTCATCTAATTTTAATTCCTCCCTCAAATTTTTAAAGAATTGGTAGGATTTTTCAATGATTGACCAATTTTAACATTCACCGACCGTAGACTAAATTGAAAAAATACTCAAAGACTAGCACATGTATTTAGCCCATTAAAAATGTTCATCATTCAAATCATTTTTCTTGTAATTCTTTTTAGATAGAATCAAAAAACACAATAGATAATTAAGAAAGAAAAAAACAAAGTAGTAGACATTTTTTTTTTTTACATGAAAACTCATTGTTTTTCAAAATACATTCAAAATGAATGATTTGATTTGATTTACAACTCACAAATAGGCACAACTCTATGAGTTCTGTGATTGTGGTGTTATAACTTTTTGTAATTTTTTAAAACACAGAATATATATTTTCATAATATGCCACATGAACTAAAGTATAAAAAATAACATAATATCCATAAATATTTATATTTTATTTTATAATTTTAAAAGTTAGAAACGAGATAGAGGTCGAGAGTGAAGTAAAAAATGAATGTATTCTCCATCCAAAAACTTTTTTTTGATGCATACAAATGAAATAAAGCTTCCTCCCAAAATCACAAAATTGTGAATTAATCACGAAACTTTACAAGTTATCAATCACATTCACAATTTTTAGAAACAAATTTCAAAAACAAATTCATATTTCCTTCATATTTGTACTTGACAAAGAAGAATATGAGACTTTACCGGCAAACAGCTAGCTCCCTGATTATGGTTACAAAAAGCAAAAATCAAGACATTGCCATTTTTCTTCATGATGCTATTGAGACTGGCCACTTTCTCCTGCTGCCGCTGCTCTTGTGGGTGCAGCTGCAGCATCTTTTGGAACTCTGTCCCGCGTTTGGCTGCTGCCGCTTTCCGGCATCCCAGCTTTTCCCGATGACCTCCTGAATGGAAATTTCAGCCCTTCAGATTTTAGCCTCGTCAGCAGTTGCCATCTAGGTTTCATCTCCCCCAACAACTTCATCTGCTCTCTTCTAAATTGCCTGTTCGCATACCGTCTTCCACCTCGCCATCCCAAGCCATATCTGCACAGGCGACACACGATGATAAGGATAGCATTAGAAGATGAAGCATCGATGATGATAAAGTTCAGATGGTAGTGTATTGAAGGAGCAACGGAGTAACGAAATTAGAAAACTCTGTGTCTCTTAACCTCGTGTGAGGAAGGGAAAGAAAGGTTTATGAAACGAATCACATCGATCTTGTAAGTCACAAAATGATTTCAATGCACGAATTATATGGGCAAACTAAAGAGAAATAAATGGCACTCAGTGTCACAGGGGAGGGAGGGAGGAGTTGTTTCATTTTAACTTCGATGATCATCTTTCATCACAGAGAGGATTGTATACTTCTCTGCATTTTAGTGGCCCCAAAAGTGAGACTATCCATCCCAAAGAGTTTTTAGAGCCCACGCGAAACAGATCATAATCACAACATAGAAAGGAACTTAGCAAGCAGAATCAGACCCAACAATTAAAGAAGTTCCAGCAGTTGCAATGCAAGCAGGAGCACTGAAATTTCCTGGATTAACAACCTCTGTAAGTTGAGAATGCTCGAGTTGGTGCTTTTTTCTCATCTGCCACAAAACAAAAACGAAAACATGAATCTAACCACTATTAAGGGAGAAGGCATAATGTGTTAAGTGCACTCGTGTGTAAAAGAAAGAAGGGGCACAAAAGTAGCAGCAGCACACTAATTCGTTTAGTTTTGTATGTTTTATATGTCGGATTAAGGCTTAAATTTCTTTTCCAAATTTTTAGTAATTAAAACAACACATAACTAAGCATATATTGGGAGAGAGAGAAAAAAAAAGGAAGAAGCGCATGGTTGTGCCTAGTTGCCATAGACTTCATTGTAACGAAAGAGAAAATATCTTCAAAATGGCAGTTGGCATGCAATTATGGTTGGACTTCATACAAATAATTAAATCAACAGATTGATGCAAGAAAATTTGCTTACAACTTCTTCGATAGATTCAAGCCTTCTATCAACTTGGACATCATGGTAGTGGCGTAAACTGTACCCTGGATCAGAATTAGTAAGACCTTAACTTTCACTAAAATTTCAAGCACTCGTGAACACACAATTTACTGAATCCAACATACAAAACCAAATACTTTATCATAATGCTCCTTTTTGGCATGCATAAACTAAACCAACAATTACGATAAGCACAAAAATTAAAGCTTTGACATCCACAATGCATGAAAACTCATTGCCCATTGACAAAGAAAAACCATTTCAACATAAAAAACAACAAAAAAACTAAATCAAACATAATAAAGGATTCATTTATTGTAACCAAGCATCACCCATTTGTTCAATTCCTGATTCATAACTCAAAAGTTTCTGTGGCCATTTGCTAAGAGAGGCTAAAACTTAAAAAATTAGAAATGCCAAAATAGGAATTAGAAATACACATAATATTTTCAATCGAAGGATGTCAATCGTTTCTCACTCATTTTGTTTGAATGTGGAATAGAGTCATAGACTATAATCTGAAGGCATTGCCTGCTTGACAAAATTTTTCAACGTGTATCCATTACAACTTTCAGCGGGAATAGGCTTGCTTCTTATTCAGGGAGTAAACACTTCAATTTGAATGTATATGTTAAAGAATGAATTGAAAAGATTAAATTTATCATAATCTGATCACTTAAGCTCTAAGGTCTATCGATTATCTAACAGTATTAAGAATAATCCAATGGGAAACTAAAAGGAACAACAGCAAGGGAAATTATCACATTATAACACTGAACTCACCAATCCAGGCAGTAGCGACCGATGCAATAGAAGTCCCTACCGTAAAAACCACCCTGTGCCTTTCAAATATATCCTGAAAACACACAAGAAAACAGAATCACAATCAAAACAATGGAGAAGCAAAGAGAATATAAAAACCTTGATTACACCGTTCAGATTCTATTAAACAGAGAACACCCGATGAAAACAAAGATACTTGGAAGCTTCTACCATTCAGAACATAAAATTTCAATAATCAACAAACAATACCAAAATCAAAACCCGAAAATTCTCTCACCTTGGTGGAAAAGAAGGTATCCTGAACCGCAGTCCATGAATTCACAGCCTTCTTCTTCAACCTAGGAACTGCAATCGAGTCAATAATCGAAGTTCCTGAGCCCCTTAATCTCTGCATGGTGCATTCTAAACAATTCGAGGTTCAGATTTCCAGATTGAATACTCTGAATTTTGCCCAGGAATTCTAGGGAACCAACCACGCAGCGGAAATTCGAGGTTACGAAGACGAATCCAGAACAAGAAGACGTCGATTCTCCTGTGCGTGGATACTGCCTTCGTCTACAAGAATCCTATTCCGTTTTCCCTTAAACTAGGTACCAAAAGTCGAAACCTTGTAAAAAATTTGGGCTAATTTGCAACTTTAGCCCATTAAACGAAACGAATTTGATTGGATTATGACCTTCGATTATGAGTAAGATTTTCATATTATAAGCTATCATATGAGTGTATAAATTAGTTTAAGTTATGATAATTGTAAATAAAATATCATAATATAATATTGTTTTTTTTCTAGAAAATTAATAGGATGTTGTTCTTAATAAAATTATTTTGTTTTATTTCATCCAAATGTGGGGATGGAAGGTTGAATTACTTTTAAGGAAGGAACAAACGCCTTAACCGCTAGTTAAGTTCATGTTAGCAATAAAGTTATTAAGATGCAAAACATATATAAATTTTAATTATGATGTATGGGTCACATTTTAATGAAAGTTGCAAGTCAATTATGATATTGTCCTCTAGATTGGGTTTTTAGCTAACTCTAGTCGATACAATAGTTCATAAATTTTTTTATTAAGAATGGTCCGTGAATTAATTTCACCTATTCGACTGATGAACCAATTACTCAATATTTTATGAACTATTAATTAGGCTAAGAACTCTCAAATCTTAATCCATTGTCTTTCTCCAACCTAATTAAGAAACCAATATCTATATCTAATTTTAATAATAAGTAAAGATTTTATTGAATAAAACTTTTAACGACCTCTAAATACTTCTAAATCTTGATCTTAAAACATCTTTAGGTATGCATGTAAGTTTTAACTTTGATGCTACATTCCGTCGAGCTCACAGGTCAGCCACATGCTAACAGGGACGAGCTACTAAGGTGCGATCTCAAGTGAAACTTGCATAGAGAACAAACACTCTGACATCCAAGTTAGTGTGAGCTCGAGCTGTAGTAGGTTGTTCTTGGAGGAAATTGTGTACCTGATCAGTGAGGTGGAGTGTCCCCTTTGTAGACAGGTGGGGAGGCAAGGCTGTTGTAGTCGTTCAGACCGACAGTTGCAGCTGTCGGGTCCCCAGGTCAGTGGTTAGGTCTGAGGTTGGCGAATATGGTTTATCCATCTCAGCTTGGCATGGATCAGGTCGGTAGGTACGGATGATCTGTTTTCTACCTTTTGATGACTTCGAATTGAGTTGGTGCGCACACGTATCCCTTCTGATTTTTTACCACCAACAAACTCTAAACTACATTTTCATGTGTGGGATTTTTTTTTCTTTTTTAGGAAATTCATTTGTAGGACTTCAAGTCTAATATCAATTAATCAAGTATAGAAATATATATATAAAAATTTAAATTCAATATAGTCATAGTTGTTACAATACTTAATTAACCAGAAATGCAACTCTTTCCAAAAATTTAGATAATCCATTTAAAATATTTGTGAAAATAATGTATGACGTACGTAACAAATATATTTAAATTAACTCAGAAATTTACGGGGAAAAAAAACGAATAAAAGGACACGCTATTAATTTCCAAGATAGTATCTTTTGGGGACTGCGATTTGATAAAAATGAGAATAAAATTCAAAAAGAAATGATTAAGGAAAAAAATTCGAAAGCCAATCAAAATGATTTCTGAAAATATTTTCAAATTTCAATTAATGGTGGATCTTGAATTTGAAATCGTGACTAATTGACGTATAATAATATTAGAATTAGCCATTTGACGAAGAATAAATTTGATAAGACAAATTTACAAATGATGAATATAATGTAAAATGGCTAGTTTTTTTGGATTATTATATCAAAGTGGCAATCTGCTATATTTTTTGCATTTTCAATTGTTTTCTATTTTATCGTATCATTGAAAGCACTAAACTATACTTGCTCTTGTTTTTAGTTTAGTTTATATATTCATTTCAATGATAGGATAATTTTCTTTATTGAAGTGGAAAAAATGCATTTATTTAATTCAATTGAAGTTGTCTAATTATTTATATTTCACAAGTATAATGTCAATCTCATGCAATTGCTTAAACTTCACCGGCACAAACATCAATCTTTGATTAATTATCTAGCAGTCTATTAATAATTTAGAGACTCTGTATTTTTAGTTATTGATATTTAAGATAGTAATAAATATTTTATTCCATCCATAGTTAGGTATTCAAACGGTCCTATTTCAATAGTGTAAAGAGATAGAATTTTATAAATATTTAGATTAGAATAGTATACAAGACATCGTTAAATTTTTTTTTCCTTGTAGTTCATGAACCGATCATACATACAATTATAATGGCTTTCTTTGGAAGGTTACTAACAACAAAGTGTATAATTTAAAAATAAATAAAACGTACACATTGAAAGTCCAACACAAGTTCACTTTGAACTAAATTTCCAAGTCAGTTAGGAGAATAAGCTTACTTCATTCTTCGATGAGTTGATCTTCCACTTACCTTCTTCACTGAACCGTGCGCTACACCATTTGCCTCTCTACGAATGTGAACTATTTGGAGACCACGTCCATTTTTTCGCCTATTGAAATAACTTCCTCAACAAGCGAATTGATTTTAGTCAGGTCTCATTTATTGTCGATTGAGAATTCCGATTGCTTCAATATAATAAAGTCGAATTACAACTGCATCTAGTGAATTACTTCAATTAAGGATTTTGCAGTGTCGTGCAAGACTTCTTTTTGTTAAAATATACTATAAAAAAAATCTGTTGAGAGAGGATAAAATATATATTTTCTTTTTACAATGCTACAATTCAAACAAGAAAATAAAAGTTCAAGGGAAAATTTGTTAGCCTTCACATATTTTGTTTCTTGTTTTTAATAAATAAAAATATAACTGGATTCGGTAATTATTTATTGTTTATTATTCTTTTTTTAATTGAAAAAAGATAAAAAAACATGCTTGGTCACCATTTCTTATTTTCATTATCTAAAATTTTAAATTAAAAAAAGTAAATTTTTAATAAGAAAATTACTTTGCTAAATTAAATCTTTAAAATTTATTTTATATTTATTTTTAATATTAGTATACATTTTATGATGAAAATAATACTTTTATTTATATCTTGGAAAAAGCTATAACAATTTAATTCTACTTAATTTTAGAAACATTTTTTAAAGATGAATAATAAGAAATAAAAATAGTTACCAAATGTTTATATTTCTCGAGACTAGATGAGCAAAACATGATCGTTACCGGCCCATAACGTCTCAGACTAGTATGGTGTGTTACATTAAGGTCAACAAAGGCCAAATATAATTTTAAAAAATAATAATAATAATTAGGAGAGGTGGAAAGACAAAACTAAAACCTAAAACAAAGGGGTACGCAATATAATTTATATACATGACTATATTATGAGAGGAATATTGTTAGGTGGTTGAAATAATGGTGCGATTTTGGCGATATCCACCCAACAGTCGGAACAGAACTGGGCGTGCAACTAAAAAAAATGGTGGAGGGTGAGAGAGAAAAGACTGAAGATGAATCATTTTCATTATAGTGTGGCTTTGAAGGAAAGATGGAAAGCACAGCCCTAGCTCTCGCCTCACCATCCATATGAATGGTCAAACGGTCAATTTTTCAATAATGATTAGGATAGAGACCTTTTTTATTCACACAATGAATTGATCACACGATGTTCCACGTAAAAATTCTAGTACTACAAGAGTGTCGTATTCTTGTGTTTACCCAATAAATATGAGGAATGGATGATGAATAGTGAATGGAAAGGAATATGGTATTCCTGTAATACCATTTTCAAGATAGGTCTGGACAGTTAAGAGGCAGAGTATTTTCCCATACTTAATAGATTCAAAGTTCAAACCATGCGAGGCCTCTAAACAATAAGAACCTTCCTCTTTCTACAACCTACCCTCCACTTCCATCCCCTATTTTCTCAATCTTTAGATACATTTTCTCTTTTCTTTTTCTTTTAGTGTCATAATTGCATTGCCCAAGAGGTTTCAAAGTAAAGAAAAAGGAAAGTGAAAGAAAATTATAGCACCTGCTCTTGCTGTGTGTGGTTTTTAGCTGGCCCATCCTTCTTCCTTTCAAATCAATCTCAAAGATATTGTTCATTTCTTCACTCCACTAATTTAACATGTACCTTTCATTGTTTATATCAATTTATTACATCAAAGTGGGTATGACATCTGAAGGGTGTCCTCCATTTTTGTTCATTTCACCCCAACTCAAAACCAAGTATGATTGCAAATCAAGATCAACACTATTTACTGTGCAATATTTAATCTTCACATAAAAGAAGGCTTCAGAACACAGAAGATAAAAAAGCTCATAGGGAATGATTCCTGGTTACTGCAAATTATATCATGGGCCAACTACTAGGCTCAACAGTGGACCAGAATGATAATGTTTGTTCAACCCACCATGGCTTGGCAGCCATGAGAGGGTGTCGCTACAGGCTTGGCCTGTAGATGCAAACAAAACATGGCCTCAGTTGAACTTGGTGAAAATAGGGAAAACCCTTTCAATCAGTTTCTTTTCTGGTTTATTTTTTTTGGGTATTGCCAATACGAGGGGGCAAGGGGAAGCACATGGCATTGGGAAGGAAAACTGAGCAAAGCAATGCCATTGGTGAAGGCCTCTGCCTAAAGGGGGGAAGAACTTGGGAAGGGTGCCTGCCTCAATTGGGTTTTGGGCACATTGAGATCAGAATCAGGAGTGGTGTGGCAAGAAGAATCAGCATCACATGTGCAATAAATGTTTCTTATAAAAAACCCTATCAGAAAAATCAATGCCTTGCCCACCTCCATTGCCTCCATTCCCACATTCAATTTCTGCAAACAGAGAGCCCCATTCTTCAGCCTTTCAACCAGAATCCAAAGTTCAAACAAACACTCCATTTTCTTGCCCTCTCTGTAAAAGTAGTAAAATCATAAACAACATGCCCTACACTTCCACCATAGATGTTCACACAAGGTTTCAGATCACATCACATGAAAGAGAAGAATGTAAAAATCAAATTGATATTAAGATAACTAGAGACGATTGAGAAAATTTTATGGCAATTAGAACACTACAGATGTTTTTAATTAGATGGGTAATCTTTGTACAGAAGTAAGGATCGATGATGTGAATCGGATCAAGAAAGGAAAATCCCAGATCAGATACACAGCAGCTTAAACGATGCTAAAAGCTTCAATGATACAGACAACATTTTATAGCCCATGGCCGTCGAATGAACCCAGTCTAAATAGTCTAACAAAGTAAGGGTCGATAAACAAAAGGGGAGAGGGTGGGGGAGGGAGCAAATTTCTCTTCAACTTACCACCATGTTCAGAATTTTTTTTTCTTTTTCAGTTTAGTGTTTTTCCCGATAAAATAAGATAGAAAAAACAGAAGAAATGTGGAAAAGGGACCATTAAAAACCATGATGATATGAAGCAAGCACAGCATCGGCATCATCAGAGGCATAAAGCAGTGGCTTGAAGATCATCACCGGTTAAATCCACGACGTCCATCGGAGGCGGTAGGTTAAGATCGAACGGCAAGGCTCTACGGAAAGAAGCAAGCACACAGACCTCATCATCATCGACAACCGAGGACGACGAATCGCAGTCGCTATGGCAGTCGTCCGGCGAAACTGGCTGCACCGGCCTCCGTCGAACCATCGACAGCGA